AGGAAAATGCTGAGAGTCAAATTTCAGAGAGAAAACATTTCCTTGCTGTCATTTCCTTCTGCTTGCTCAGCTGTATTCTCTCAGTCACTTAACTACAAACTATTAGCAAAAGGAATTTTGTTCTGTTTCTATCCATTGTAGGACTGCAAAACTCAAAACATCTCCTCTGTGATCTAGAGGTAATAATGTACCTCCTACAGCATACAAACTTGCATTATGAAGTCTACTGATGAAGCGCTCTGCAAAGGGCAGATGTAAGTCTCTCGTATAACACACATTAGGAGGAGCAGAACAGCGCTCCCAGTCACTGTGACACCTCTTGCTATGTCAGTCAGGCGTTTGATCTCAAAGGCTGTAAATTTGGACTTAAGAAAGCATTTCAGAGCCAACTTCTGTTTGCTGTAAACAATACAGATCACAGAACGCTTTTCTAATCCAGAGCCTTACCGTGAGTATGAAGCCTGGATGGATCCTTGCAGTTGCAATCTGGTGCTGCTGACTGATGTAAAGGAGGATCCTGTACTGGATTCCACAAGGAATTGGGCAGAGAAAAAGAACAAAAGGCAGAAACTCAAAACTTCTTCAATTCTAATGTGCCTTGCAGCAGCATTTTTCACAGCAAAAATACTTAACACAATTTTGTAACGCCTATGAAAACCCCTTGAAAATACGCATGCTTTATTTAGCTACAGGAATCAAGCAATTCAAACTAATTATTTTGCAATAAGCAAGATACTTTAACTAATTCCACATTTTTTGCAGTTGCTGTGTAAAAAGATGATGCACTAACCCTTTGATACATAAAACTCACAATACACGGCAAACATGCATAAAACAGTGTAACAGACTGAGTAACAATGAGTTGGAGGAAGCTTTCCAAGTACTAAACAATGCAGATAAAACATTATGTTGACATATTTGGCTCTACCAGACACAATCTACTATGGAAAAGTGCTTTCCTTCACGCACCTGCACTCAACACAGCTAGGTGGTGAACTGGGAATAATTCACTGCCTGTTCCCAGCTGTGCAGGTTGCAATATTACAAAGGCAGCTTGAGAAAGGCTGTGTTAGCTTCCTTCTACAAGCCCTGTCCTCCCCAGCTCCCCCACAAATGCCACACCTGAACACGTGTCAGATCAGTGACTTGGGAACTAGTTTACCAAACTACTATTTTTTTGTGTTCTTGCCAAAGCAGAAGCAACTTAGTGAGACAACATGAATTACGGATATGAAACACCATAAACATCAAGATCAGAATATTCAAAGAATCTCTTAAACACACCAATTTACCGGGCATCTCAGTGCTGTGTTCTTAGAGGAGTACTTGAGAAGGAGAGATATTTTTGATACCAAAATAACAAAACTTAAGCAAAGCATCTCTGTATTATCGGACAAAATTTTGCTTTTTATTGATTTCCACATGCACAGATTTGTGATCCAGTTGTCAAAGACATTCTGAATAAATATCAAAATAACTTCCAGAAACATTAGAAAAGGTGCAGTGCCTGAAACATTGCAAAATATTTCAGGCACAAGTTGTAAGACATCTTACAAACTCATGGATTGCAGAAAAGATGTCACCAAAGTAAACGGCTGAGCCATAAGAAAACCCAGGAGGGCAGGAAGGCGTAAGCAGCAGTGGAACTAAGATTTCCAACATCAAAAGCAAAGACACTCTGGAGAGCTCAGAGAAACACCGCCTCATACCAGTGTACTCTCGGCATGAAAACATTAAAGTAGTGAAGTGTTTCTCACCTCTTTAGTAGCATGGTTCCCCACTACAGCTGCTCCATACTTGCCTTGCTTCAAGTACTGCCCATTTGTACTGGAAGACAAGTGAGATATTCAGCTGTAGAACTGTCCCTGCCTCAGATTTCTCTCTACTGTTCCTGAGTTTTTCTTCTTTAGAGTTCAAGTCTCTTTCCTCATGCCCAAAACGTCAGGTAGCCTTTCTTAGCTTAAAGACATTACAACTTTTTGGCTTGCCCACAGATTACAGGAGCATACATTATGGAGTTTGAGTTGAAATCTGCTCTTTTCACAGATCCGGGGCAAATGAGTTTTTACATGATGGCTGCATCAAATGGACAGAGAATTTCACTGCTGTCACTCTGTGCTCATGCCTCGGTTCTTCACGAGGGAACATATGAGACATAAGCATCTGACAGAGCTGCCTGGAAACAGTGCAAATGTCAGGCTAGCACCCCAAGATGCAGTTCCCTCTAACATCCAAAGCCAGAAGTTGCTATTTATTTGACAACTGTATAATCCAGAACTGCAGCACAGAAATGGAAAATGGTTTTGAGCAGAACCTTGCACTGACTTGTAGCATTTCTACCATGCAGACACATGTCTATAAGCAACAGTATCTTCCCACTCATTCAAAAATATCTTCCCTCTATGACTAGGTCTTAAGCTCCCAGAAACACAGACTCTAATAGGTCATACAGGGAACCATTGCTGCACTTACTATCGATAAGCATGAACCGCAGTGGCCATGAACACCGATGGCGTTCCTGAAGCTGCTGGGGCCACAGGAGCCTTCTGGGCTGCCTGACCTGCTGAAGAATAAGAAGCAGGAATACCTGTCAGTGATACAGAACTGCCGCATTCGCTGGCCAGTGACAATACCACGATACACTCCTTCCCCAAGGAAAAATAACTGCAGAAGAAGATTAAAAAACAAAGAGTGACATTCCAAAGTCACTAAAGGCCACGAGAGTAACCACATACAGAGAGAGTGCTAAAGGAGAACATTTAAGTGAATTATTTGCACTGCTGTTCTTCACAAGGGCCCTCATTCTTCCAGCAAGACACAGGCTGCAAAGTTTTTTCCCCACGCTCAAGCTCAGTTACTTACCAGCTGCCGTTTGACCCTTCTTAGGCTGCTTTGGTGCAGTGTACTGGAAGAATTCATTTCCATGGCTTGAGACTGTTTGATCCAGACCAAAGAGAGAGGCCAATCTGGCACTAGAAAGAGAAAGAAACTGTTTTACCTTAACACAGGCTTTATAGATAACAAACACCATTAATTATATCAAATATAAAGGGCTTACCATCACTTTAGAAATAAACAAAGGGATGCACATTAAGCAGCTCTATACTAATTAGCCATTTAATTTTGAATAAGCAGAACTTTTAGATGAAGAGGCTGGGCTAAGTGGTACAATTAAGTTTCATTTCCTCAAAAACTGCTGTAAGGAACAAACAAGGACTGAAATGACACCAAAAAAGAAGTTACTTTAAAGCAACAACTAGGACTGCCCTCACATGAAATAGCTGATTATTACAGTACTGCAAAAATTATGTGACAACAGAGAAGCCACTATTCAGCACCAGAATTTTTCCTCTTGAAATGTCAAGGAAATGCATTTTCCCCATTAAGTTTTAAAATGGTAGATGCTCTCCTGTCTAAGGGCAGAAGGTTTAATGCTGCAGGCAAGTAGGTTATTCCTACAAGATAGGTTGTTTGCAGTCTTATTGCTTTAAGTCCATTTAAGCTCACCTACTCCTGGTATCACGAGACAAGCGAGTAATTCAAACTATCAAGCAGAAACCACAAAGGACAACACCGCTGTCAGCGGACCTGGAGCATTTTACATGAGATGCTTTAAAAAACAATCATTTGCTAAAAAGAGAGAGGTTTAGTTTACGAGACTTGCTAAACAGAAGCTCCTTGAAGAGGGTGAGGAGTGAGCACAGCTAAAGTTACAATTGCCAACGAGTCTTCAAGTGCAACAAGTTACACAACGTGAGAAAAACTCAATGTACTACACACTAAAACGGTATCAACAACAGCTGAGAACTGCTGAACATGCCTGAAGTAGCCACCCCTGTTCTAAACCCCCCCAGTCCAGCACTTTCACGACCTCCCACTTTATACCTTTATTTAAGTGAAAACATCCGATTTCTCTCCCCACCCCCGCCCTTACAAGCAGCAAGCCCCAAGCGGTGCTCCTTCTGGAAGGGCTGCCGAAAGAAACGCTGCCCGGGTCT